CCACTTGCACAAGTTTAGAGATACTCTGGCCGTCGATCTCTACGAACAGAATTCCTTTTCAGTTTTTTTTTTTTTTTTTTTTAATAGTCCCTAAACGACCGCTACCTCCAAGCCTCTTTTCCCCCTGGCGGATATTTCAGCTGCGCGCCCAAAAAAAAAAAGACCAACTACTATGGCAATGTTTCTTTTTTGTTTTGGCTGGCGCCGTCAGTGATACTACCGTCTTCCCCCGAACACAACGCAACCCCATTTTACCTGTATCTGGCCGGAAACATACTTTGTATACGTTCATTTTCAGGGTGCGTTATGTTCAGGGGAAGACGGTAGTGGTCTGCTAGCACTGTTCATTGGAAACTTGAGCTGGTGAACCGTGGCGGTCGTCGTCAAATTCGTCGCAAAAGTTAAGTGTGGGAGATGTAGGTGATGTAGGCGTGCTTTAATTTGTGCAACCAGGAGGACACATTGATTGCCCTGGGCAGGTGAAGTCGTCCCCAATTCGTTTTTTTAATCGAAAAMAAAAAAAAAAAARAAAARAARAARAARAARAARRAAAARWTCCAAAAWCYCCCCCCCCCCCCCCCCCCCCCGGGMAAAACAAAGAGGAGGAAAAACAGATGCAATGATGTWTACTCACACGCATTCTACGCATGCATTCTACGCATCCGGACGCATTTGTAAATTTGTGAGTCCTGAGCCGATGGTACATGGTCATCATCATCCGCAAATTCATTTCACATATGTCAAACCTAACAGTGTGTGCAAGGAATCTGGACGTACTCCAGAGTCCAGATTCATTGAAACAACGTTTGTAACTTTGTATTGAAAGCAGCAGAAGAAAAAAAACAGATACAATCTCAAATATGCCCAGGAAAATTCAAGAGTGATTACACCCCGTAAGACGTACTACTCTTCAGAAACCTCTCTCTCTCTCTCTCTCTCTCTCTCTCTCTCTCTCTCTTCGATCCGGAAATTTCAACCGTAGATTACGCAGTGATGTTTCCGAATGCCATGGACTAAAAGTGTCTTCTGTCAGACTTCTTTAAACCGCTAGTACACGGACGGCCCCAGCCTTGCAGAAAAAAAGTTTTTTTGTCGCCACGAGCAAAACTCGTAGGCGCCGTGTGGCCAGGCCTGCCATTGAAAAAAAAAATCGGCGGCCTCTGAAGTGGTGCGGGTTTCATGCTGACACCCACGGGCCGATATGTGGCGTGCTGGTGCCTCACACTTTCAGTGCGAATCTATGTTTGAGATGGACTAAAGTGGTTATCTCAACCCAAAAAAAATAAAATAAAAAATAAAATAAAAAAATTACAGAGTGTTCAAAAGCCACAGCCACTACCCAACTATTCTGTCTGTCAAAAGAACACACTTTATCTCCTGTAAACGAGTGGATGGTCCCTACTTATAAGTTATAATACACTACAATTTGACCGTACCATTTTCGAAATCAGTTTAAACTTTAAAACAGTTGGTCCTTACTGGCAAGAAATGAGAGCAAAATGCACTTCCAAAAATAAATCCCAAATGAAAATCAAATACTAAATCTGCAAAGGTGCTGATCAGTAAAGTAGAAACTGCGAGGCCACTGTGACCGCTCAAGGGGAGGAGAAGGAGGGACACACACACACACACATGTACACACACACACATGTACACACACACACACACACACACACACACACACACACACACACACACAATCAGTTTGCGTATGTTTTTTTCCTGCTTTCTCCGTGTCTTTCTTCTTTTGATTTTTACCAAGTACTTTTGCTTGTCTAAGTGAGCTGCGAGCACCCTTGAGCAGCGCCAAACAGCCGGTCATTCCTGGGTTTGGAGTGCGTATAAAACTCTTAGGGGGTCCACTCAGTTCGGGATGTCTGTGTTTCCTGCGGGTGATGACGGATGTTCCCTGGCTCGGCGGGTGGTGGGAACAACAGTCAGAAGGGTGTGCTCGTGTCGTAAGTACGCGATGTGCCACTTCGCTCCGTGTTGGATGTGTAGACTGTCTTGTCTGCGCTCTGCCGCTGCCTTGCTGCCTGTGCCGCTTGCTTCGCATGTCGTCCTCGCCGATCTGCTTCCTTGCCACCGATCCGCAGGCCGTGCCTTCCGTGTCTTTTGCTTGTGTGCCTTGGTGGTCTTTTGCCTTGCGCTTCACTGCACGGGTGCCGAGCTGCTCATCCACTTGCCCTGCCGGCCTTCTGTGTCCTTTGCTTGCGTGCCTTGTAGTACGGTTGCCTTGTTGGTGGTGCCCTGCGCTTCACTGCACCGTTGCAGAGCTGCTCGTCCGATTGCCATGTCGGCCTTCTGTGTCCTTTGTCTGTGCGCCTTGTAGTTCGGCTGCGCCTTGTTGGTGGTGCCTTGCGCTTCGCTGCACAGTTGCTGAGCTGCTCGTCCGCTCGCCCCGTTCTTCCTTGCAAGTAGTCTTTGGTGTTGGGCAGCCGTGTTGCCTCTGCAGCGTTGCGGAATGCTTCGCTGGGTTGGTGCCCGGTGCTGTGTTCCGTTTGGAAACAGTCTGCCTTCAACAAGGGTCACAGGTTGCATGGCCCGGACCATCGATACAGGCATTCCGCAGATTGTCGAGGGTTCAGCCTCCTGATGAGTCCGTGCAACTCCGACGAAGCAAGTTATCATCATCACCAGCTTTTATTTTATTTTTCGGTGTTTTGGTTTTCGGTAGTTGTTCTTTTTTGCCTGTTGCTTGCTGTCTTTTGCCTGGTTCGGAACAGAAGAACTCAAAAACGTTTTCTGTTAATGTCTTGTGTGCTGCATGTCTGCTTGTGGGTGTTGTGCCCTCCCACCTCCCCCAGTGATGGCCATTGATCTTCATAAGGTAAGCGCAATAAGCATAAATAGGGAATCTAGGTGAATGGGGCCTTCTTTCCATAAGGTAAGAACCAATGCGCCACACCCACTAGTAACCCAAACCCACGCCCACTAGAAACCCAAAATGGCCATTGAGATCCATCTGAGCTTTCTTGCCTGAGTGCCTGCCAGCACTGAGAGCCCTGAAAACAGGGGATTGACTGAGCAGGAGAATGAATGCCCACGATGGGAGGAAGAAGAAGGGGCCTCTTCAGCCCTGCTGCCCTGCTGCCAGGCGCCGGCGCCTGAACCACATGACTGACTAGCCCTTACCCTCCTAGATGGTAAATTTTGCCGAGATGGTAAATACTAAATTTTGCCGCGTCTCTCGTCGAGACGACGCAGATATGAATGTTATCGTTACGCACAGTCACACTTTGCAACCAGAATTTTTTTTTTCAAGATTCTCAGCCTCTTTCCTGTCTGACAATATTAAAATTTAAAAGAAAATTATCAGCCTCTTTCTGGCCTGACAGGATTGGGCTGGCGCCCCCCCTCCCCCCCCCCCTCCCAACAGCCCGGGAAGGGCAGCCCTAGTAACCTACATTCTTCCCCCAAATACAACATACGGTCATTATAGCTGTATCTAGACTGAAAGATGCGTCAAATACAGCTATAATGACCGTACGTTGTATTCGGGGGAAGAAGGTAGCTCTATGGGACATTCGGCCAATAGGACATCCGGGGGACCGAGTAACCTTCTTAGCTCTATGGGACACTGGGCCCATGGGACACTGGGCCTAGTTGACAGCACGTGCAGCTCACCAGCAACAAACTGACCCCCAGAAAGTGATAAAGGAGCAGACCTGAAATTGGGAGGCCAGTCCTTCGGGACATCCGTTAAAATTGGAACGATACAGAGAAGATTAGCATGGCAAAAAAAAAAAAAAAAAAAAAAAAAGAAATTGGGAGGCCTCACTGGGACTGCCGGCTCCACGTAATCACAGAAGCCTGGTCAAAACAAAATAAAGAGTGAAGAAAATTATTATTTAATATTTATATAATCGGGTGAAGAAAAGAAAGAGCCCAGAAATAACTGGGCATCTCTATGTCCATATGCAGAGCATGAACTTGGGCATCTGCATGTCCATATGCAGACATGTATATTGCTTTCCCCACATATGGACTTTTCCTCCCGACGATTGACGCTCCGGTTTTGAAACGAGAAAAGAGTTTTTTTCACACCCCGACCCCGTTTTGGGACCGTGACTAATAAGGCCATACTCACACTAGGACTTTTCTAAATGTATCTGACTGCAATTACGGGCAGACCTGGATGAATCTCTTACTGCAATCACGTCCACAGCTTAGTCGAAAAAGTCTACTGTGCGTACGCCCTTCCAAAAAAAAAAAAAAAAAAAAAAAAAAAAAAAAAAGTCCGGGCGGAAAGGAGCAGGCAGCCCCGACCCCACACTCTCCTCAATTGTTTTTCAGTGTTTCACACTTTCCAGGTATCGCCAACCATTTTGCGATTTTTTTTTAATTTTTTTTTTTTGAGATTTTGCGAATTTTTGACTCTTTTGTTTCCTTCTTGACCTCCTCTAATTTTTCCCAGACACACGTCTCCTCCGTACTATGGATACAATGCACATAGACTATGCGCACAGATTTCACAGATTTGTCCCGTCGGGGCTCTGCTCATATCACACCTAGACTGGGGTTCGTTTTAAAAAAAAAAGAAAAGATAAAAAAAAAAAGAAGATCTGGTGGCACACAGATCTGTGACAGATACCATTCTTTCTTTCTTTCTTTCTTTCTTTTCTTTTCTTTTCCTTTTTTTTNTTTTTTTTTGAGATCCCATTGGAAACATGCCTATAATAGACAATCAGAATGTCAGTCCCCAAAAATACAAATTCAAGGAGGCAACCAGTCAAGTTGAGTCAACAATTCAACACTTAAAAACAATTCAGAATGTGAAAATTTCAGAAAATAATAAAAATAATAAAAATTACTAAAATGGAAAATTCCAATCCACACACATCCTGTACATTGCTCTATAGAACCACCTCCAGGCCTGGTTCGCCAGAAGTCCGGACCATAGGCCCGCAACCTTTGTCATCTCTCAAACATCAAAAATCTTGAGCCCCATCCCACTTTCCCGATGCCTTCCACATTGCAGCAGCTATCACACCCTATCACACACTCGTTCACCTTTATTTTGCAATCTCTCTCTCTCTCTCTCTCTCTCTCTCTCTCTCTCTCTCTCTCTCTCTCTCTCTCTCTCTCTCTCTCTCTCTGTGCACACTTTTTGCAAGAGACAAGCTACAATCTACGAGTTTGCCATGCACTAGTAGCATGCAGCGGATAGTTTCGATGGAAAACCGTCAAGTTGAAGAGCTCTTCTTACACTTTGCAGATCCAATCTGAATGCCGCAGAATTCTCGGCACAAAGCACTACACCGTTGGACTTCTCCGTCAAAGCGAAGCGACAACTGCACAGTAAAAACAGGTGAAGGGAAAAGCTTCCCCCCTCCACGACAAGAAAAAAAGGGCAAAAAGCAAAAAAGGCAAGCGGAGAACTACTTGTCAACATCATCGTTTTCGACCCAACCTGGATGAGAGCTGAAGGTGCATGGGAGCGCCACCGTGGATGTGTGCAGCCGATGCAGCAGCACCGACCTTCCGACCCGACGATGTGTGTCCAGCGCCGCACGGGGTCCTCCCCCTCCCCCTCCCCCTCTCTCGATCCATCCACCCTTCTCGCCTCCTGCCTGCTGCATCTCATTGTTTGGGTTTGACAATCCGCGTGCGACATAGGGAGCGCAGAAGCTTCAGGATCAACAATGTTTGGGTTTGACAGACCGGTGGGTACACCGCCGATACGCCTCCAGCATCGTTTGAGAACTTCCCTTCCATCTCATTGACAAACCACCAATCATACTTCACCAATCAACCAACCAACCATCCAACCAACCAATCAATCAAATCAATCAATCAACCAACCAATCAAATCAAACAATCAATCAATCAAATCAAACAATCAATCAAATCAATCAAATCAATCAAATCAATCAAATCAATCAATCAATTAAAAAAAAACAATCAACCAATCAAAACAATCAAATCAATCAAATCAATCAAATTAGTCAAATCAATCAACCAATCAACCAATCAACCAATCAATCAGCCAACCAACCGACCAACCAACCAATCAATCAGTCAATCAACCAAAGACAAATCAACAAACCAATCACATCAAACAAATCAAACAACTCAAACAAACCAGTCAATCAATCAATCCATCAATCAAATCAGATCAGATCAGATCAAATCAATCCAATCCAATCCAATCCAATCCAATCCAATCCAATCCAATCTAATCAATCAATCCAATCCAATCAATCAATCCAATCCAATCAATCAATCCAATCCAATCAATCAATCCAATCCAATCCAATCCAATCAATCAATCAATCAATGAGCCAACCAATCTGCTGGTGAGCAATCATCACTCATGGTCAATGACCAGGCGATTCCCCGTTTCTCAATGCAGAACCCTCAATCTCCAATCCCTGAGAAACAGTCAATGGTTAAGGGCGGGGGGGGTCCCGCAATTCTACATATATATAATCACGTCCAACTTACTATCCTTTTTTTTTTGTTCTTTTCATCGCTCACACAAGCACAAGCGATCATAGCGATCATAGTTAAGCAACCATATGGAATATGCTCATAGGTTCCTACCATATGTGGATCTGCTGCTCCTCCTCCTCCTCCTCCTCCTCCTCCTCCTCCTCCTCCTCCGGCTGCTGCTGCTGCTGTTTAAGCCACCACTTCCCCCGAAGCACAATATTTTTTTTCCTGAGCTGACACCCTTTTTTTTCCTGAGCCTCGAGCACGTAACCAAAATGATGTGGGCTTACTGGGAGTACGCGGGAGCACAACATGTGATGATGTTTTGCCGCCAGCATCCTTCCTTCACCATGGAGATCTGCTTTTCAAAAATTTTGATTTGTTTTTTCCCCGGAAAGATGGGCGGCACTCAATCGATGTCCACGATTCGTTATCAGGCTTTGTCGTAAAAAAATTCTGAGCACCAAAGATCGCTGAAAGTCGCCGCCGCACTCGACGTTTTGAGAACAGCTGCCAACCGCCACCTGGAGTCCATAACCCGACCCACCTAGCGGCCAGCCGGCGGCGGCCAGCTGCCGGCCCCGAACCTGCATTCAAAACGCTTCGGAGGCACTGGTGGTTCCCTGTCGTCCGAAGACTCCGCGCAGTTAGATACGATTGAATTGAGGAGGACGAACTGAAAAGAGATGCAACCCATTTTCTGCTGAATACTGACCATCTGCTGAATACTGAGCCACTCTGAAATCGTTGGACGCAGGAGTGATGAGATAGATATGTCTAATCCTCTAACCAAACACACAGAGGGTTATGTCGAGAGAAGCAGATCTGCCAAACGGTGTGCGTTTACCAGGCAAGAAAAAGGAGGAAGGCAAGGAGAGGAGAGGGGAGGGGAGGGGAGG